GGATGTGGAACACAACTTTGCGAAAACATGTCAGTCACAATGTCCAGATAGCGTACAAGGGTGGGGGGGGGGGGTCCTTACACAGACACAAACTGTATAGCTGGAGAAATGAGACAGTCGAGTATATTTGTAATTTAAACATCATCTTACGGTATGTGGGGTCGCGATCCGTTCGTGGCAAGCTTTGGTGCCTAAAGCTGTCCAAATGTCACTAAAATTTTGGTCTTAAATCATCATTAACACTACAAGCCATGCTCGTATGAAATTATCTTTTAACATTTTAATTATATGTAACAGATACTAGAGAAATGAAGTTGATTTCTGATGCAAAACTCTTGCATGTTTCTTGATCGAGTCTTATCGTTTGCTATATCATACTTTTCGTTCCCGAAAACCGCTCGACCGGAAGGCGTTTCTAAATTCTAAACATGACCATAACATAAGGAAGCTACCCGATGAGAGATACGTATCGTTTCATCTGTCCCGGACCCATTGTGGTTTTCATCAGATCTTGTAGCCTGGATGCGCAATCTCCAATCAGATCATACAGTGGCAACCATGGGCACTCGTCTGGCCAATGGATACTGCCTTGCCACCGAATGATCTGCTTGGATATTTATATAAAAATTCGTTTTGTAACGGGACTCCCCGACTGCAATTGACCCCGAACTACCCCGTTACAGAAGACATGGAACCCATACAGGCTAGAAGAACAGACCGCTTATAAAATGTCACTCAGGGGTAATGTTCAAGCAGAGGTAAAAAGGCGAAATGGACAAGTTTTACACTTCCTGATTTCAAGTTCATGATGGAAATTGTAAGTTTTTTTTTAAGCTTACCAGTCCATTATACAGTGACTGTATAGGCGTTTGTAAACGTTTTTACAACCTGCCTTTCAGGCTGCTTGAACTTAACAATGCCGTGGCTTGCGACTCTCCATCTGTCTGAAATCCCCTGTCCTCCACCCAACCAAGGAACATAATTGAAGTATCTGATCAAAGCGTTAACTATAGCTCACTTTCAACCTATCCTGAACTCGCGAACAATAAATCTGATCTAATCTACTTGTCATATCCCATAGCTCTGGTCATATCCTTTAAATGACACCTTTTCCTTCTGTGTGAGGACTTCTGTGTGGGGTGAACATTTTTCCACGACATACTATACACTTGTGGGATGACCCGAGGCTCGGTGTGTCAACTCAACGGAAGCTAGCCTTGCCTTCAGGTCAGCCAACTGCGCGACCCGATCTCCTACCTCTAATTTGCAGCCGTCAACTTCAATTGTAGGTTTTGCCCAGAGGGGCACGTCTGAGTCTACACATTAAGTTCTAGCTGTATAACCTCTACCAGACTTCAGGAGACAGCTCAGGAAAGGGGGCCTGCAAGGGGGGTCCCGACAACGATCTATGCTGAATTCGGAAACTTCTCGATTTTTTAATACGCTTTACGATAAATTCCAAGTGGCTATAACGCATTACGTAGAATTAAAACGGCGAATATGCTCTACAGAAAAGGGCTTGCGGGCCCCCCAGGAAAGAGTAGAAATTGACCAGATAAAAAGAAAACATGCCAGTGCAGGGGATCCGGAGTTGGTCCGCTAGAGGGTAAAGCGAGGCGAACCGTATATTCTCAAAACGGATACAGGAATTATCTAATTGTAGTCTCAATTCGAGAAAGAATGCTATCGTGGTATTTCCTTGCATACAAACGAGGCCCTGATTTCTTTTACCCATGTCCAACTTCACTTCACCCAAACTTCGGAATGACGGCCCGAAAATCCTAGGGGATCTAGAGGCTTGCTCAACCGGGACAAATTTGAAATCTTGACCCTCTGAAAGCGGGTGGGTAAGGCTGTGCTCTGTCCTGCTATAGAATGTCGGACTCCTTGTTTTGAGGGACACATTTTGTTGCAGCTGGTAGACTCAGAGCAGTCTCATTTGGTGTGTTGATGACATCTCGTTTGATCAATGTATACACAAACGAAGGTTCCAGCTGATTTTTCGGGGTAGCCTAGCTACGGCGTGGGCCCTCATGACGTTGAACACACATTAACTTCTATGTACGTATAAAAAATGAGCACAGAAAAGAAACAGTACGTTCAGTACAACAAACTTTGCTCTATATGTATATGTATATATTAAACGAATCTACGTCTTAGACTCTTACGAAAAATGGGGACAGTTCGTTATGTGCGTTTCCGGTATTGGCTTTGTCATAATCGCCAAGGATGTGCTTTCATGTCCGTGTATGCCATACGTGGATGACAATAAGAATTGACATATAGTCACTTACCTCTTTGTCATTCATGAAAAAAAAAAACATATCGAAGACTCGACGAATCTAGGGGGTTGAGGGGCACACTCAACTAAAGTGAAACGTTATTTCCTGCATGTTAAGGGGCAAATTTTGCCGGTACTCCGAGCTATTAAAGTGTTCTCTATTAAAACCTACATTTATTGGTTCAGCTGTACAAAGAACAGCCAGGGCTGTCCAACTACATGTATTTTAAAGGGCTAACCCTGGGTGACAAGGATTTCAAGCTACATAAGATGAGTACAGGACATTACAATAAAAATAATGAACTCATTACATCTATAGGATTTACTATACATAAATGCATAACGACTTAAGCTAAGGTGTACTAAAAAGAGTAGTATTTACATTGGGAGGCATGCCCGTAGCCAGGATTTTGAATGGGGGGGTTCTTCCCACTGCTAGAGGGGACCTCGAGCGCCGTAGGCGCGAGGCGAGCGCCGAAGGCGCGAGGTTCCTAGGGGGGTCAGGGGGCATGCTCCCCCGGAAAATTTTGAAAAATGAACCTTCTAAAATGGCATTTCGTGCAATTTTGAGAGGGTTTCCAAGAAAAAAATCAGAGATAAATTTTTATTCAATGACAAAGGGAGCAGTTTTTCTACGATTCCAGTCCATCTTTTCAAGAAAAATCTTGGACCTTTACATAAAAAGTGGACCAAAAAGTGGACCTTTACATAAAAAGTGGACCAAAAAGTGGACCTTTGAGCCTTGTGGGGGGGTTCTTCCGAACCCCCCCTGGCTACGGGCATGGGAGGGCAGGGTCAGAATTCACAATGTATGGATCTCCAAATGAGGTCTGGAGTTTGGTTTTGAAGCAGGTAATAGTGGGAGCTGTGCGGCATTGGGAGGTAGCGTGTTCCGAAGCAAAGTGGCTCTATGGAAGAAGATTTTTTGGCCCAATTAGCCAGGCGGTTTGGTACTGGACAGAATCCAAGGACCTTTGGTTTTGTCTAATGCTGCCTGCCCAAACGATGTCCGCATACTCTAGACAATGGTCTCGTGATCATGAGCCTACAACCAGTATAAAACCTATAATAGTCTTATTGCCGGGAAATCCCACCCTCTCTACAGGAACAATACTCCCCTGCTAGCGTTATTGTATCATCCCCAACAACGTGCCTTTTCACACGGCCTTGAACAGGAGAACTGCGATCATCGCGCTCAAGGACAAACAGCTGGCCTGGATCTACTATGACGGATAGAGCACATTTTACAAGCTATTCCAGTTTACTTTGTTCATCTGAAGGGAAATCCGTACAGTATAACGCCTTGCAAATTATGTTTGTGAAAACTTATTGAGAAGCATTTCATGAAGACGACCTGAAATTTAAAGGTACCATGTCAATTCCTCTTTGTACATGACCGGAATATATATGATTAATAGTAAGGTATGTATGTATGTATGTATGTATGTATGTATGTACGTATGTATTTATAACAGTAGCTCTGTCCGGGCAAACTCTTCCTTATCAGGGAGCGGCGTCGACGTCCAGGAGCAATTTCTATAGGTAATTGGAGATAGTGAGGAGTTTACTTAACCTGACTAAATCTGCGCCCCTAGCGGCCGGCCCGGTATTGACTGGTGTAATACCGGGCCGACCGCTAGGAGCGCAGATTTAGTCAGGCTAGGAGTTTACTTAGCCTAAATTTTACGAATTCATTTGTCAACACTGGGGCTCGAACTCCCGCCGAACGCCTCCCCACTATGGGTTAGAAGTAGCTTAGGAGCAAGGGTTGGCCGCAGTGGTCGCAGCACACACAAGTTCTACCCCGCTATAAAATATATTGTATGTGCAATACCCACGGTTCACACAGTGAAAAGCCGAAGTTCCTTTTAATTGACCTCAGATTAGACAGAGGTGAACTATTATCAATCACACCGCTAACGTAGCGACCTGAGGTTAAGCCCAATGTCATGCCTGTCAGACACGTCTAGACGTAACTGCGCAAACCCTTCTTGATTTTAGTGGACTCAGACCATGAAAATAACGTATGTGGTTTATTTCTCCCCTGGTGTGATTTTTTAGGTTTCAAAAAAGGAAGCAGAAATTTGCCCACGAAAACGGACGGGCAAGGCGTGGGGAGGGCGCTGTTGACGCCTGCATGACCCTCAAAAGGTTAAAGGTCATGGGGCATAGAGAAGTCATAAAGAAGTGAAATTTTGTTTTGGGTGTAACTATTGTTCTTTTGTTAGTATATTGATGAGGAAATTGTTTACAAGGTAAGTGGGGATTAGAAAAGGATGAGAAGGAACCCTGTAAAAGGTAAAGCACACACAAAAAACATTGTAACTTACACTACAATGACTATGTACAACGCAAACCTGTCTATATTAGCAACCGCTAATATTACTATCTAGTAAGAACCTTCTTCAGTAGCTAATATTATTAGCTACTGAAGAAGGTAGTCTTCCAGTGGTCTATATCAGCATAGTCTGACTACATTATGATTGTAGCAGTCATAATTCCACTGGTCAGGTTCATAGAAAAATTGATGTCCAACATCCATCTCTAACATTAACGTTATTTTAATTAAGCATAAGCATGGACCAAGTATCACATCAGAGGTAAGAAGTCTGATTTATTTGGTATTAATCATGAAAACACTTTTAAAAAAAGACATTCCGAACTTTACGTAAACAACAGTTAAACTGAAGTGTGACTACTGATTTAGCACATACACACTATTCCACATTATCAAAAACAAAATACGAATTTGCTTACTTCTCTTTCAGAATATATACAACAACATTCACTATGTTTATAGCAAAGTTATCTGATATATATACATCTGTAATCGACATGAATGGCTCTAATTCATTTACTGTATAACATGTTATACAGAATTTATAGAAGATAAGTTACTTTTTCTCCATCCAATGTATTACTTACATGTATGAATTGTTGTTTACTAGCCCTAGAACAAAATGTAGCCTACTAGTAATTGCATTTTCATAATTACATAATTGCATTTACATAATTACATCATAGCCATTTACATAATTAAATAAATACACTAGTACACTAGTTTCAACTTATCTAGGTATAACGCGTCTAAACTCGCTATTAAAAACTACAAAGGATTTGATACTTTGATACATTGTATAATCGTAAGGCACTTGTAGCATATACTGTTATATAACCAAAAATAAGACACAGTTACAGTCCATTGCCGGCATTGGAAGGGTCAGGGCTCCCACCATCAGGTACTGCAAAGCAGGATGAATGATATGATAAGAATTTGTGAGGAAAAATGTAACTAAAATTGTGGAAAGTTTTTTTGTACAAGACCGACATGTACAGTATTGTTAGTATAATGTTTATAAGAATAGGACACAATTACTGATATGTAGAAGAAAGATGAAAGGCACACCTCACAAACTCTCTGCAGTCAGCCTTTCACCGATGTCGATGAGTGCCTGGTTCAGAACCTGTAGAGTAGCCTCCCTTCCCTCCCTGTTTCTCCATCTGTTCAGCATTTCCCTGCACCGGTGGTCCTGGTCTTTCTTTGAGTCGTGGATTCCGTCTATTTCGTTCTCGTTGAATCCCAGCTTCCGTGCCAGGTCGTCCCACTTGTTACTGACTTTGGTGATGACTTTGACAAAACATTTCTGCATGTCACCTGTAACAGGTATAGATAGATAAAATTTTGTCACAAGTTTGATGAATTCACATGCGTATACTATAGTATTGCTGTTAATGACCCTGAGGTTGGGAGTTCAAGTCGTTGCTGTTGTCATTGCCCCAATTTGCATCTTCCTGGAAAAATTGATTAGCAAAGTCCAAACAGTTGTTTAACAAGTGTTTCCTTATCATTGTTCCTTTTTTTTTCATTGCAGGTATGTATAGATTAAGCAGAATGTGTATCAGTTGACGTAGGAAATAATCCAAGTAATGTTTTTTTTTTCATGGAAAAACATGATCAAGGCTGACAGCAAACAAACATCGCATTAAGATGATGAGAAAGAAAAAGTGAAGTAAACAGTGCACATAATGACATACTCTTTTGATGTATGTTTGAATGTTCAAAGCTTATTAATAAGAATGTCATCGATCCGGACAAATCCAAAGTGCAGAGGGATTTTGGTTGTGGTGCACGAGAAATATTCCCACCTGTAGGTCGTGTGTTCTCTCCAGCCCCACTGGGCCCTGCTCCATCATCCATCTGCTGACTTTCTGATCGCCTCCTCTTCTTTCCTGGCACTGTAGCAGGCGGGGGGCTGCTGCTCATTCTTTTTGTAGAGCGGAGCGTTGCTGGTGGTGTGGTGATATCTTCTCCTAATGTGTAACAAGACACAGTGTGAACATTATTGAGAGTGAGAGTACAAACAGGTTAGCGTTTTTAGTTTTCTCAGTCTCAATTGCTTTTTTTTACTATTTTAAATACCTATCTAACCTTAAACCAAAATCCTTATAATATCATTACTGTAAACGTGTCTTTAGTTATATTTTATATCAAGATATCAACATTAATCATAAACACAACTACAGGTATGAATACATTTAGAATATGGTTAAATTTCCCTTCAAGTATGGTGGTCACGTGGTGCATTGACAAAGAGATGTTTACACAAAATTCTGTTGCGTTAAAACGCCTTGAATGAGTGAGGAGACATATGCTCAATTGTCTTACTGTTGGTTTTCTGATGTATGCTCTTCTTTCTTTCGTCACGAAAGTGGTGGGGTCATCCACTTCTCAAGACACAAAAATGTGAAGAATTATCAAGAATTTTCACGAAAAAAAGGTAGGCCCACCTCTTTTTGGGTCATTGTTCCGCAGTTGCCCAGTATCTCAATGTCTGACAAAAAACCTGCACAGTCAATTCCCAAATTTTTTACTGGGATGTAAAAATGTACTCACTTGTGAAAATGTCGCCTAACCCTGCCTGCAACAGAAAATACATGTAGTATTTAATCTCTGAAAGTTAAATATAACACAAGCAGTATTTGATAAACATAGACTTGTAAACATTCAATAAAGGTTCAGCTTACCTGGACCCAGAAAGTGAGTTTGCACACACTCAGCCACTGTGGATGTTGTAACTTCATGACATCCACTTCGCCTATGGTACGGTGTCTAGTATCAGGTCTCCTCAGACTCATTTGTATCTCCTGGCCGCTTTGCCTGCACAGTGTGGCGCGTAGGGGCTCCTCAGTTGACTGTTCGTATCCACGGAGACTTACATTCACTTTGACTAAATCACCATTATAGAGAGGGTACGTTGCATGGTTGGATCCACACTGCGTAAACCCTTGACGGTACTGACTTGTTTCAACGAACCGATCTCTGCAGACGAGGTGGAATTCCATTTCATCTACACCTGGGCTGATGTACGCTGTAAACGAACAATCTAAAGTTCTGTACGAAAAGGCATCGCGTAATGTCTTTCCTACAGTTTGTATGGCTCTCACAGGAGCCATTAGATCAACTTCGATACTGAAGATACTGATGATACTGAAGGTCTGCAATGACATTGACAGTGTGTCAGAGTCAATATGGTGACTTGTTGAGGCTGTGACATCTGCCCAGCCTTCTCCATCATGATGCCTCAGCAGAACACATCCCATACCTTCTGAACATGGTGGTCGCCACGTCTGCACCTCGACCGGCCCACTCAGCTGTGCACCGTGTAGGTTGACGTCAACAGCTGGGGAGAACAGTACCTGTTCCAGTAGCTCACGTGAACAGGCATCCTCACCCAGGGACCAGGGGTAGCCGGAGATCCAGTTTACGCTCTCGGGATCCCTGAGGATAGCAGCAACATCTACAGTCGACATGGTTATCCTTGTGTCTTGCTGAAGGACTCCTGGTGGTACAACAAGTTTGACAAAACCAGGAATCTCCACTTCTCCACCCATGGGTCCTACTGTAGCTTCTGTTGTTCGTGTGTACTTCAACTCCTCAGGTACACCTAGGAAACATTAGAATGAACATTTAAGATGTTGAAAACTCACAGGCACTACAAAATTCCTCCAACCAACGTGACTATCTATTAAGTATATGTAATGCCAAAACCTTTACACCTTTGGTGAGCTCACAAATTAAATGAAAAAATAGATTGATGGTCTAAAACTCTGTAAAGCTCATGGAAACAGATTTTGGCCCGTAAGGTACCCGATCTCCCACACCCCCTTCTATACATTTAAAAAACGGCCCGCTAGAAAATCTGCACAGAAGGCTAGTACAGTGGCACCTCATTCTTCATCTTCCTATCTTCATACTTCCAGCAAGAACACACCCGTCTCCCAGACTACCCATGCAGAATTGTTTTGACTAAGGTTGAAACCAACCTGGTATGTCTCGCACAATAACAGGAAGGCTGATCCCAGCCGCCATCATGTCCTTTTCCAGCATTCCAAGGTCACCTGAAATTTGTTGAAGTGTTCATTATGTCTACAGACGTATGATATGCTGGAAGTATAATTATGATCATTCGATTGCAAACGTCACATTCATTTTTGACTTCTTAATGCCTAATATCCGAGGTCAATTGGGAAAATATTGCAAGTGAAATAATTTGCAACTTTACGCACCAGTTGGGATGTAGCCAGTTCTCACCATGGCCTTCATCAAGTCTGCTGGCCTCTCCATCCCCGGACTTTCCTGATTACCGGTACGGGCAGACCACACCCGTAGAAGTACCTGTACATCTCTTTCGTCCAGCCGACTGAAAATCCTGTCCAATGTCTGATAGAAATCTGCAGAGATCGTCAAGTTATGGGGAATACCACACTGGCTATATTTACCGTACACACAAAAAATATGCATCTTTAATTTGTTATGACCTTATTAAGTAATTCTAACTTTTCACTTAATTTGCCAAATATGCTGCTGTATTTGTTGTGATTTTATGAACTTACCTCTTTCTTCGTCGGTCATGACCTGAAAAGATGCAAAAGACTTAATGAGTTTAGAAGCAGAGGAGATTGGCTGAAACCAACCACACAGGCATGATTTGGAGTATAATCAATTTAAGAAATAGGATTAGCGTTTCCAAAACAAGTACCTTGTGCACGATTTCCTGCAGCCTCACTTCTGACACCATCCTTCCTTCCATCTCTATCTCCACTGGTGTTAAGCTGCAGAGCACAGGAGACCGTTGCTGAAGCACTCGGACCATCTGGTCTCGGGAGCCTTTTGGGTACAGCAGGATCGGCAGCAGTAGCTTCTCGTTCCGAACTGGGAACTCGTAGGCAAGGTTTGGCCAGTGTCTGTCATGTACCACCTGGGGACTGATGACTAGCAGGACCATCCTGATCCTTGTGTTAAGCAAAAGTTCCACTGTTTTCTCTGTGATGGAGTCAGTTCCCGTGATGACCTCCGTGTGGCAAGGCAGTCCTGACTCCCTAGCGACTGTCTGGAGAGGCAGGACGAACTCGGCAGTGTAGTCATCTGTGTGAAGGATGACAACTTCTTGTCCTAAAAGAAATGAAATATGCATGTTAGCATACAAATTTCCTTCACAAATCTGTGTGTCTACTTTGTGGATGACATGTAATGTTATGTAGGTGAGTGTGCGTGTGTAATGGGCGTCAACATACCTCGTTCCTCTCTGCAGAAAAGATCAACAAGTTCTGGCAAGCACGTTTCCACCGCGGATCCGAGGAGAAGCTGATTTTCTACTAGCGTCGTCATGTACAAGAACCGCTGGAGAGGTGTCAACATGTTCCTGATGTGGTCACATTGGCCCTGTGTCAGTCCTCCAGCTAGGTCTATGCAGTCCAACACACGGCCGATTGTGCACATCCCACCGATAGCTTTAAACTTTTCAACGTCTTCAGTCGGCCAAAGGATTACCGGGCCGTCTCCTCCCTCGTTTGCTGCAAATAAGAATATTGTTTTAATGTTACTATGTACAAAGTATCTACAGTATCTATATAGATGATGATCTACAACTAGCGAATGTTCACTGCTATTATCATACGTAAATGCCAGACCCACATGTAACTATATATATATATATATATATATATATATATATATATGTATGGGGAAGAAGGAAACAAAAGAGAGCAGTTGGTTTTCATAACTGCATGTAGAAGATTTTGTTCGTTTATCCTATGAGGCGTGGTTTCGATACCGTCTCAATACCGTTGTGATGACTGGTTGATGTCTAAGATACAGGATAGTTTCCTTAATAGAATTACCTGTGCGGTTGGAACGGGGTCCAGCATCTATCCAAACTTGACGAAATGCGGATGGTATTCTGGAAAGTAAAAAAGGAATGGAACACAAATTTAATTACTTCCACACATGCATTGTCATTTCGTTTCGTTTCTTTAAGGCAGAAACTATAAACACAAAGGTCATGCGTTTATTTATCATTCAATGTGGCACATAGAAACAGGCAATAACGCAAACAAGGAAATAACATTATGATACAAGCTGCTGCAATATAAAATGTTTGACATGCAGAGCAGTCAATTTTATGTGGATTTTTAAAATATACATTGTAGTTTCTTTCTTACCCAATAGGGGCTGCACGAGCAACCTCCATGGAGGAGCTCTGCATGGAGGTTGCTCGTTCAGCCCTCCGCGATACCCCCGCAGAGCTCTGCGCCAAAACAAGCCAATTCGTTGGTTGGCGTCACGGGTTCAGTTTTT